CGAGGTGCAGACGTTCATTGGGTAAGTTCTGAACGAACTTGTTTCATTTCGCCGTATGTCCTTGTTTCTTCGTCCAACCCTCTTGTTTCACGTTGGTACAGGGAATTTCTTCATCAATCCTAGCATGGATCAAGGCAACCTACCCCGCAAGAAAATGATACCCTTCTTTCATAGGGTGCGGGACCAGAGAGCCCCGATTTCATTTGTTGGTTCAAATAGAAAGCCCAAACTGATGCGCCTATAAGTGATGAGCTGAGACAGGTTGCAAACGGCTGTGCCGTTAGGGTCAAGTCATTTACCGGTTATGACGTGAATGGATATCGTTCTCACACAGCAAGCTACGAGCAGAGTCGGCCCAATCAAAAAACCACAAACAGCGTAGTTGTTACGCCCAGCACTGATGGACTCGACTATTATGGAAGAATTGAAGAAATCTATGAACTATCATTCTATGGTTCCAAACCTCTTACTCCCGTCATGTTCAAATGCCACTGGTTTCATCCTGGAGTAACGAGACGGACCCCTAAGCTTGGGCTAGTCGAGATTCGATAGGATTCCGTCTATCTAGGAAAAGATGTCTACATTGTGGCTCAATAGGTCGTCCAAGTTTATTATACGTCATACGCGTGCAAAGACGCCGAGCATCTTAAGGGTTGGTCTATTGTCCACAAGGTATCGCCACACGGTAAACTACCTGTCCCAAACGATGAAGATTACAACTTCAACCCAAACACATATGATGGAGAGTTCTATCAAGAAGAGGGGCTACAAGGGAGGTTTGACATAGACTTAACCGAAGAGATAGGAATGGAAGTAGACAATGAAAGGGATGATGACGAGGACGCTAGAGACGAGGTGCGAAATCTAAAGGACATACAAATGCTTGAGCGATTACGTTTAGGCAATGACAATGAAGACAACATTCCTCCTTCGGATAGTGTTCATGAGTTGGACAATGTTGATAGTGATGACGAGACCTATGATCTAGCTAATCTCAATCATGAAGATTATTTCTAATACATGTAATACTATGTTTTTTGTAATTATGTTTTGTTCATTTTTGCATATATTTCTAATACATGTATTACTATGTTTTTTGTAATTATGTTTTGTTCATTTTTGCACCTATTTCTAATTACGTCTTGTTTTTCTTTTTTATTGCAGGTGATTGAACAAAGATGGCGGGCGACCGTCATAGGTCCGTGAACTCGATTTACCAAAGACCATGCCGGCTGTAGGAGGAGGCGGAGGGGGCGGTGGAGGGATCGAACAGGAGGAGGAGGAGGAGGACCGCCATCCGCAGGAGGGGGCCGTCTCCTCCCACGCCGCGTGAGGAGGAGCTAGAGGAGGAGGTGGCGCCCGTGGACGAGTCGGATGAGGAGCTGGTTCGGTAGACAGACGAGGAGGAGGAGGAGGAGGGGGGGGAGGCGGCAGGCATGGGTTCCGCTTCCTCCGACTCCTCTTTGAGTGTCTACTTGCGAGGTCCCGCGAGCCTCCCACAGGTTCCGCTTCCTCACCAACGCCCAGTGATTTGCCCGAAGGGCAAAAGTAAGTAACTTTATATGTTATCACCACTACTTCATATGATATGATGAAAAAAAACTAATAATTTTTCTTAATCACTTGTGCAGGAACTGGATGGTTGTGTCGGGTGGTAGCGCATGGCTAGTCAACGGCATCATGGGTCTTCTGTGCAGGCAACACTTCCCCGACATTGTCACGTATGCATCGAAGACGGAGCCGGCCTACTCATTTGACCACTACGCCGTCACCCTCGATGTGGAGTACCCCAACAAGGCGGCACGGGTGAAGGCAGAGTTTTGGGTAAGTCTCCCTTGCACAACATTGCTCAATACGTCGCATTCATTGGATTTTTCTTGAAATAATGAATGGATACATCGCTTTTGTATGCAGACTTATTACAGATGCGAGGAGGGATTTGAGGCCAGGGCGGAGCAGGTGACTACCAAGAAAAACTCGTCACCGACATGCATCACAAGGTGCGCATCCAGGCCATTGTAACCTACTATGGGTCGAAGCTTAGAGAGAGGAAAACCAAGAAAGACGCAAGAGAGATGCAGCTGACCCGGGAGCAGTACCTTGAAGTAAATGAAGAACATTAATATTGATTCGTTTTGAGATTAAGTTGGTTGAATTTGATCTTCTTATATGTCCAATACTTGATGACGTGTAGATGATTCCCTGGTGGTGCCAAGCGTATCCCGAGTGCTGGGCGATGATGGTGGAGAGGTGGTTCACGGAGGAGTACCTCAAGATGCACAGGGATGCCCGGGACCGTTGTTTGCAGATGCAAGGTCCAGCACACCATCAAGGCAGCCGTAGCCTCGCCGGATACAAACAAGCATGGGTACGTGAATTCATTTATCTATTATGACGCTCAGTTCTGCCTGATTTCTAATCATCGTGCTGTCTTTCTCGCAGTCAACGTCACATAGTGCCCAGGCTTGCTCGGACTTCCAGGCATGGTGTATGGCCCACAAGGGCAAGGCGACGTCCGATGTCTCCTTCAACCTAAAGGACCCGCCCAAGGCATACACGAACCCGAGCGTCCACTCCCGCATCAGTGAGTACACTGAGGTGGCGAGGTCGCTCCATGGGTCAGACCACGATCCGAGCACCCAGGACTTTGATGGAGAGGTCGTCATGAGGATGGGGCAAGGCAAGAAGCATGGGCGGTTCTGGCTTGGCGACGACATCATCGACACGGCCTCTACTCCCTCTCTCTCCTAGATCCAAGCACAGAGCACGAGCAAGAGCCCGGCCATTCACACATGGCCGACTGCTGCACATCACCAGGTCGATGCACTCGAGGTTATTCCTATTTTACTCATCATACATTGATCTTTACACACCTTAATTAGCTTTGCATTACTAAAACATTGGAGTGAAAAATTGCAGGCCCGGCTGGAACAAGAAATGAGGCAATGTTAGGAGCTGGAGGCTGGGCAGCAGAGGATGGCGGCCCAGCTGGAGGCCGAGCGGGCTGAGCGGTAGGCCCAGGCGCAGAGGTTGACGGACATTATGGAGTTCCTACAAGGGCTTGGGCAACGTGTGGGCTTCTCTCTGCCAGCTGGGCTGTTGGTTCCACTTCCGTCTCCGCGTCCTGTAGCTGCAGCTACTCCTGTGAATATGAAAGTTTTTTACTTTCACTTGTGCTTTGCTTGTATGGCCTCTACCTTCCTAGATTAGCTATACAAATAATTTTATCTCACATGTAATCTTTTCTTCTTTATGCAGTCTCCATCTGACGGTGGTTCGAATAATCCACCTCATGCACCTCCGAATGATGGAGCTAGGCCTTCACCACAGTCGCAGTGGCCGAGATGAGTGCACGTTGTATTTTTTCATTTGTTGTTCACTTGGTGATGGACTTGTGATATACTTGTGATGCACTTGTGGACTTTGATGGACTTGTGATGGACTTGTGGATTTATTTGGATGGACTTGAGCACTTATTATTATATATGTGATATATATTGTGATGGATGTGATATGTGCGGATGGATGTGTGGATGGATGAGATATATATGTGATGAATGACATATATATGTGATGGATGAGATATATATGTGATATATGTTTGTATGAATTTATTTCTCATGATGGAATGTAAAAAAAATTAAAAATTGCCGTTTTGGGTCACTTTGCCGAGTGTTGCACTCGGCAAAGGACCCCGTTCCCGAGTGCCATGGTCACAGCACTCAACAAAGCTGGAAAAATGGGCGCTCAGAAAACCATTTTTCTAGCTTTGCCGAGTGCCATGACCATGGCACTTGGCAAAGATTTTTTTTTAAAAAAAATTCAAACTTTGCCGAGTGCCGGCCAGAGGGCACTCAACAAAGAATTTTTTTTAAAAAAAAATTCAAACTTTGCCGAGCGCCGGCCAGGGGGCACTCGGCAAAGAATTTTAGAAAAAAAATAAAACATCTTTGCCGAGGGCCGGATATAGGGCACTCGGCAAATAATTTTTTTTAAAAAAAATAAAAAATATTTGCCGAGTGCCTGCAGGGTTGGCACTCGGCAAAGCGACCGTCAACGGGGCCGGCGCCGTGACGGTCGCTTTTCTTTGCCGAGTGCCCCCGGGGCTCTCGGCAAAGCCTTTGCCGAGTGCTCGATAAAAGACACTCGGCAAAGAGGGCTTTGCCGATCAATTTTTGGCCGTGTGTTCTTTGTCGAGTGCCGCACTCGGCAAAGCCATTGCCAAGTGCAATTTGGCCTTTGTCGAGTGCCAAAGAATCTGAATCCAGTTGTGAAGAGGCTCAGTGAACCATTCAATGAAATTTCTTTTTATTTATCTCTTGTGTCTCCAGCAAACTCTCTATTTTTGTGTTCTCTATATTATAATAGTTTATCATAATTTCCTTATGTAAAAAGAAACCATGAGAAAACTACCATATATGTTGCATTTAGAAAGTGCTGGAGCCTGTCAAAATAGGAGAGCAAGAAGGGTGGTTTTGGAGAGCGGGAATATTGGAGAGTGGTTTGGAGAGTTTATTGGAGCATGTTTTTTTGGTTTATTTTCTAAATTTAGTAATAAAGAGCCATGTAGTTAGTGAGATAAACGAAATTAACATAGAAAAAATTACAAGTGTTATCCTATACTTGTAAGTCTTGGCTTACAAATGCATTGCATTATTGTGTCCCACATAATTTAGTAACCCCCAGAAAATGCTTAGCTGGTGTGAAACAAACACATCACATGTAAAAGAGAAAAGGTGGTGTGGTACAGTGGCATATTTTCATAACATAGAACATAGTGCTTCACTACTTCATTACTATGACTAACAGAATAAAGATTGTTGTCATGTAACTATGAAACCTTTATGCGATACTAACTCTATCACTGAGGATATCCTTTCTGAAAATTTTTCCTTTTCTATCTGCAAACTGAATTTCCCTTTCTTTCTGCATCTAGTCCATGACCGGCCTTTGCAGTTGGATGGGTGCATGGGTACTCCATAAGTGGAGCAAATGAGCACTCATTTGTGTCTGCTCCAAACCTCCTGTCCCTGTCCTTGAAACAACTTTCTTTTTGTAGTTTCCCCAATAGTTCTCCGTGTTCGTAAGCTTGTTCTCATGCTTGGCCTTTCAACCTGAATGCATGCATCACCATGTTTGGACTTCCAAACCATTTGGTACACTGTCGCTTCAGCATTCTGGCAGAAGTAATCAATGGCCTTTGGTAGCATGATCTCTCCTAGTTGTTGCATGGTAATGTTTGTATGCAAGAGTTGATCTCCACCAACTATCTCCCTTGCTTCAGAACTTTTATTCTCTGGTATCATGTCTACAGAAGACCCATGGGGTGAAAAGGTAATTCCAGCTTTCAGATATGGAGAATCTTGCGGAGACATTATACCTCCAGACAGAGAAGCCTTATGTTTCCTATAAATAGTCCGTGAGACTTGCCACTGAAAATTAAATTCAATTAGTGGTTCTAGCGAAGCATCTGATATTCCTGCCATGTCTTGGTTGCTAAAAGGTTGAGCATAATGCCGATCATGCTGCTTGCAACATAACGGGTTTGGGCAAAACCACTAAGTCGCAAGGCTATGAAGATTACTCCAATGTTCTTTCTCGTATGAATAAACAAATGGCACTCATGATAAGTCTTAAGTAGGTAGTTGAGTAAGTTCTTTAGTAATATTTTCAACTGTAAACTTGACATGTGGGGCAAACAACTGCAAGCTCTTAACTGCAATTCCAACTATATCTGTACTCTCCGAAAACTATACTATCATACTAAAGTAGATATTACCCTCTGGTGCAGTACCTTCTTTTTTTATAAATACCAAGATAGCCTCTGTTCCATGCTCTGCAATTCAGAAGGGCGCCAACCATAGTAGTAATGAAGGATTGTTTCCCCGAACGATTTTATTGTGTACTTCTTTGCCTACAAAAAGGTTCTTGCTAAGGGAGCCAAAGGGCATGATGTGATAGTATGGTGTGCCACCAGGCTCTATGAATCTTAAGAATTCACTAGCTTCATCTGCATACCACTCAAATCGTTTAACAACTGATCTCCTCAACTCCTTGTTGTCGTGGTTAAAGATGGGGAAAACAAATGACTTGGTAGCATGTGCGATCCGTTTGGGAAAGGAGGAATTCATTACCTCCTATTCCATCTTTTCTTCTTCTAGAATTCTTTGTTTGCCTTTGTGGAGTGTGTCACCACAATCTTGAGCAGCACGCTTCAGCTTCTTACGCCAATGCAACGAGGATGTGTCAGTGATCTGCCACTTTTCTGATTTCTCACGAGAAGCGTCAAGCCTAATGTGTGCCATCTCTAGCTCCTCTATGTGTCTGATTGCATTTGTTTCCTCGTTCTCCTCATTTTTTTAACCAGACTAGATATAATCTGACTAAATGACTCCTGGATAACCATAGAACTGATCATCTCCGTCATTGGGATTCAAGCTTCTGCAGCACTCCTTCCCTGGTAAGAAAAATATATATATAGCAGTGTCCATGTTGGGGGTAGGGGCGGCTATGCCTACCCCCTCCATGTAAAAAGGCCCAGTGCCTAATAGATCTGACGATCTATAAGTAAATTTGTGAACCAAAGGGAGAGAGAGGAAGGTTGCCTCCTCCCATGGGGCAAGGGCAAGGCCCACCTGATTTTTTCCCAACTGTAACACCAACGAGGCCGAACGGCTACGGGCCTCGGCTGGGCCGAGCGGAAGAGGACTGAGAGAGGGAGGGAGCAGGCCTAGCAGGCTGTCGGTCCAAGGAAGCAGGGCCGGTGGGGAGTGGAAGCCAGCAGCAGGCAGGCCAGAGAGCATGCCGGCCGGGCCAAATTGAGAGCAAGAGAGAGAGAGAGGTTTTGTTTTCCTTTTCTATTTTCCTTTTTGATTTTCAAACCGAATTCAAATATGAAACAAATCAAATTTGAATAGGGTTTCCAATACACTTTTCAACTTAATTAAAAATGAGAGATTTTGGTAAGTTCTCAAAAATAAATTTTACAACTTTTTAAATTCTTTTATTTTCTAATTTTCTTTTCTTTTATTTCAAATCCATTTTCAATTTTATTTCCAAAGAATTGGAATTCATTTTGAATTTTGGATTCAACCACCCAGTACAAAAATCCAAATGCAGAAGCGTGTATGCTCAAACATGTTGCTATACCCTATGATGAATTTTAATTTAATGAATTTTTTTTATTTCCTATGTTTTATGAGCACAAAAATATAAAATTAAATCATTCTAACTTTATTTTAGAAATAGCAAATTTTCGGGTGTTACAGTTGGGAAAAAATCAGGTGGGCCTTGCCCTTGCCCCTTGGGAGGAGGCAACCTTCCCCGCAGGCAAGCCGGCCTGCTTCTCTTCCTCCCGCGTAGGCCCACTCCCTTTTCTTTCCATCCGCTGAGGCTTTGGCCCACGCCAGCGCGCAGGCCCAACTCTTCCTCCCCCGCGTCTAGCCCAGCAGCGGAAGCCGCCAGCGCGCCTCCTTTTCCTCTATCACCGTCCGCCTGGGCCCATCTATCAGCCGCTTCTTCTTCCTGGCGTCGTCGCCGCTCCGGACTCCGCCGCCGCGCCGAGTGTCCGTCGTTGCCCCGCCTCGCTCGCTTGCCGTGTGCCCCACGCTCTTCGGTCCCATAAATAGCGCCTGAGCTGCTCCGCCCTCGCCTAACCCAATTGCAAGCCACCACATCGCCCGAGCGCCCGCAACCGTGCTGCAACCTAGCGCTGCCGTCCGCCGTCGCCCCGCCAAGCCGCATGCCATCTCCGAGCCATATCCGGCCGTGTAGTTGCCCTAGGTGAGTTCGCCATCTCCTTCCCCTTCTCCTCGTGTTCCCAGTTTGATCTCTCGTGACCCGTAGGTGTTTTCCTGTGCACGCCGACGGGTTTCTCAAGGCAAGCTATGGCGCCGCCGCCTGAAGCAGCACACAGGCGACCCCCATCTCCCTCTCTCCGCTCTCAGCCGTCCATCTGGAGATCAAGAGCACATATTAGAACATATCCTTTCACTAGTGCTTTTGCAAAAATCCCCTTACAATTAATTGAATTTTAACCCGCAGTCCAAAGCGCAATCACAGATTACATCTTCTTCTTCAGAAAAGCGTAGTTCGGTTTAGTTCCAAAATACGTTTTCACTTATTTACAGTTTTGCCACTACTTTCTTTAGGCCATAACTTCCCGGTTTAACTCCGAATTGACCTGTTCAAATTGCGCTAGGTTCGTAATTCCATAATCTACATGTTCATACTACTCTTAAGTAGGTTTTCAACTTTTAAAATTCAAGGTTAGATTTAATCTATTATTTTACTAAAGGAAATCTTGTTTAATTCATATCTTCTACGTTTTAACTCCGTTTTAGCCCATTCAAGTTGCGTTGGATTCGTAACAACATAAACTACGCATTGGTAACACTGTTTACCATATTACTATTTCTAAAATTTCAGGGTTTAAGCTCTAACTTGAATAATAATTATGCAACTGAATTTTATAAATAAAATATGATTTGTTTTACTTTAGTTTTATAATTGAAATCTAAATTTGACTTAATTCAATTTATATAAGCTTTTACATAGTTAAAACACATGAAGCTTACAGTTTTATATTTTCTCTTATGAGTAGATTTTTTGGTAGCCGTTTCTTTCAAACCATAGCTCCGATTAGCGTGCCTCTCGCATCTATGTGTTCGTAGCGATGCGTAGGATCGTGTTTCAAACTCTTTTCCTTATTTTTCTATGATTGGTGTACTGTTCTAATTTAGATCTATTGTTTACTTTATGTATGATTGCATGGATGCTTGTGTGGTGCTTTATGATCTTGTCCAGTCGGTGAGTTATACGTGGTGAATCCAGAAGCAGATCTTTGAAGATTTGGATTGGAAGAAGGATCTATGTTTAAGGTAAGTATCGCATGGGATCTTTCTTGTTGTCCTATACACCTTTAATCATTTAATTCATGTTGCATGTGTCTACCTTGACTACCACTAAGGATTTCCTAGTACTTTGTACCTTGTACCTTGATGCCTTTGGGTTATTGCATTGGGTAGCTTTGCTAGTGCTCAACTACAGCCATGATCTTGTAACTTGACTAATGGTATATGCAATAAACACTAAAAGATGCTTTTTAGCAACATGGAACTAGGGGGCTAGAGCATTGGGTTGTTTTTATGGTGCTCTAGATTCCTCTCCCTATGGACTTATCTGTAAGTGATTATCCGAGACTTACAGTACAGCTATGAGGGCTACATGGCTCTAGCTTTAGCTCAGTATGAGGACATTTTCTAGCTTGTTAGTGGTTACCTTTATTGGCGTAAGAATGGCTTGACGAATCGGGTATAGTGTGGCCTCTGTCCCCTTGTGTATAGGCTGCGCGTTATTGTGCCATCGGGAAGGGGGCTCTGCATCTGTTTGCCGAGTGAATCTAATGGCCCTAACCTGTTAGACGAACCTTTAAAAGGCTTCATAGTGAACCCTACTGACCTTCCTTAGAAGTGGGTTAAGAGATTAGCTACCTCGGGCGAAAGGGTAAATCACGACTCACAGTGAAAGTGTACAACCTCGGTAGAGTGTAAAACTGGTATATCAGCCGTGCTTATGGTCACGAGCGGCCTTGGAACATTTATGGAATAGATGATGAACACTAATGATACGGATGATGAAGATGCTCATTAATGATTACTGTTTATACTATTCATTATTCATGTTTACCTGATCATGTGTTTATATGGGCTTATGAATAAACTTGTTGCCACCGAATTGCTAAAAGATGACTCATTAAAAGCTAATCGTAGTTAAACCAGTGTTAGCCTTTTGAGCCTCATGAACCTCATGTTATATTTGTTGAGTACGATATGTACTTATGCTTGCTTTATTTTTTAATTATTTGGATAAAAATCCTGGATAGGTACTAGATTGCTAGAGTTTGGAGGATTAGGCTTGTGATCAACTAGTCAGTTGTCCCTGTGGAATTGGAGTCTTCACCCGAAGATCGGAGTTGTCTTTCCGCTGTTTGCTATATAAGGTTATATCCTTTATACTAAGTACGTTATATATTGAGCGTTGTCTTTCGATATTACCCTTATTTGTAGCTGTATGTGAGATTTGACTTTCCATGCTCACATATGTTGTGTATCTGGTTTTGTTCTTAGAACCGGGTGCGACACCAACCCTAGTCTTGGAGCACCTGTTCTCTTTCCTGTGTGGCACTAGTTCTCGAGCTTCCCCCTCACCCCGGTGAAGGAACCTTCGTCCCGGTTGGTGAGGGTACGAGCGAAGGGCTACATCTCAACAGTGGTGTCGTCCGTGGGGACCCATTGCACCACACCAAAAAAAACCCATACCTACATGGCTCGTGCTCGCGATCGTCGTTTCTAGCGAAGGTCCACCAGACGCGAGGCACGAATGCCATCGAAGCGCCCGAGCCGGCTTACAAAGATGCTGTGGTCAGTGCGAAGCTGCTGCCCGCGGAAGCGCACGTACCTCCGCTTTTCTGCCCAGATAAGAAACC